CATCACTAGCTTGCTGCCTCACAGCACAGTAACCCCTTTGAGATCAAGAATGGAGAAAGGAAGCAAACACAGTTGGATTTCAAATAAACCTTGGAGAGGATTCTAAGGTGGTTAGGAGTCTCATTTAGCAAAAGGCACAGGTATGATTTCCAGGTTGTTCCACCTTTACATTTCCTCAAATCATTTACTGTGAATTGCTTCCAATTTGCATTTTGTGAAATGTGGTACAAAACTAAAAACTGGGCCATGTAGTGAGTCAATAGTTTCCCTAGATATTGCTTCTCTAAAAGTATCTTTCTTCCTTTCCAGTGAACTTGGAGAAATTCCCACACTAAAAACACTACAAGTTTTTGGAATCGTGCCAGATGGTACCCTTCAACTGTTACGGGAAGCCCTTCCTCATCTGCAAATTAATTGCTCCTATTTCACCACCATTGCCAGGCCAACTGTCGGAAACAAAAAGAACCAGGAGATATGGGGCATCAGGTGCCGACTGACACTGCAAAAGCCCAGCTGTCTATGAAATTATTTCTTGTAGGATGGTGTCTCCTCTTCCTTTGGAATGGGGAAAGTAGGCAGGAAGCCCAATTACTGAGCACTGGGCTAGTTTTTATTATTCGTTTTCCCTTAACCTTTATCCTGCAAGTAAATTAGGAAACCATTTTCAAGGGAAAACAATGAAGTGTTGCCTTTTTTTAAATAACTATAAAAGTTTCTGTCAATGCTATGCCCTTAAGAACCTAAGTTGTAGGCCATCAGAAATTTTAGGAGTTTGAGCCTATGATTTCAATTTACTTTTTTACATAGCAAAATTTGTGCCATTTTCTCCAAGTGCCCTTTGGATTAAGTCTTATTTAGAATCAAGCTTAAAAAATGACTTACGGCTAATGATTTTTATAGCCTTTGTGATAACTTTTTTATCTATTTAATTTTTCAGTATTGTTTAATAAGACATAGTTTGGAAGAACAATAAGCTATGTGTAGGGTGAGCTTAACAGGAAGAGTCATAAGATAGTAGCATTTAAGGTATCTGGGAATTTAAAAAAACATTTCATTTCTATCTTAAGATTTGGAATTAGCTTAACAGAAACATATCCCCACATCTTAAACCCTCAAACAAATTAAACATATGGCCAGAGGTATAGAGTTGGTATAGGATGTGAAGGCTCAAGAAGTAATTTTCTATGCCAGGTTAATCAGAAGTATCCTTTAATATCACTAAGGTACTGTGTTCCTGAAATATAATTGTGGTTTCTAATTTTATAATCAAATTATGTTAACATGAGTTGTTTAGCTTTTAAATGAGTTGCTTTGTTTTTGGAAGGTGGTATTAACCTATTCAGTCTCTATTCTTGAAAAATTGGAAGAGTTCTGAACTGATACCGCCTGCTGTTTTCCTTTAGTGCTAAGTTTATTTGTATATTACTCTGGAATCAAGTATTTTAAATTGCCTTTTTTAAATATGGTCTTTTGCAATAATTGTTTGAAACTACCCACTTTATAGGGTTATTGATCTTAAGAATTGCTTGTTCCGGTAAATCAGAAGTACACACTAGAAGCAAGTGTATTTTCCATGCAGTTTCAGGACAGTCTGCACTGGCACCTATGTAAGAGTTAGTACTCAGGTGTTGAACCTTTTAGTAATATGAGTGGGTTTGTTTTTTAAAAAACCTCTCTCATCAAGGCAAAAAGATCAAGCTCTGCTTTTTAAAAATCACAAAAACACTAGTTTTAAGTCAGTGACCTCCCCATATGTGCAAAATGTAACAAAAAAGCCAAAATCCATCATTTTTCTATTAACTGGTTTTATTTTAATCAAAGATTTTAAATGTTAAAAACAGTAGCATGAAGTGCCCTTATCTGCTCAGACCTAAGGAAGAAAATTTTAAAGTAGTGTTACACAAGGAGATGATTATGTGTCTATTTCTTATTAGCTAAAAAAGTGCTAAATACTACTTGAAATTATTGTTTACAGATTAGTGACAAGGGCTGGTGGTAGGATCCGGTTGGACTTACTTCCGGATGCCCTCAAACATACAGTGCCTGTACTTCCAAACTCAAGTCCAGCCATAAGCTATTTTGCCAACATGTCGGAGTAATCTGTATTTTTGTATGATTTCTACTTTTATAAACTTGTTTTAAAATAAAACACATTTTTATAAAAATGAGTGCTTGAGCCAGGTTGTATCCCTTTTTATACTTTCTTTTCTAAGTGTGTCATTAAAATGAAAAAACATTCAGGGTGGGCTGCCATTTGACCAGAGGCCTCTGAGATTCTATAAAACAGCACAAAACACCATCCTTTTTACTTCATAATGATTGTCATATTAAAATGATAGTTTATAATGCATTTTGAAAAGATGCTAAATATCAGCTTATTATTTTTAAAGTGCCTGCAAAAGCAAAGACATTTACAAAACATTTGCATTCATGTGACTAAAGTGATAGTCAAGTTAATAAAAATCAGCTAACACTTTTAAATACAGACGTGATCAGCTTAAACTGTGTATCTTAATGTCATTAGGAAACTTTCATATTTTATGCCCAGAAGGTTTCCCAGAGTTCAGTTCCTTTTGAAGCTATTTTCAAATGGTAGAATAGTGATTTTTTAATAATACCTAGTTTTGTTTATTCTTATACATTTTCACTACCATGCTTTTTAATGAAAAATGTCAAATACACGTGGGTAAGTAGAGAATATGACAAACCCATCACCAGTCACTATCCATGATTGCCATCCCTTTTACTCCCTAGACAGATAATTTTTAAACAAAACCCAGTCCTGTAATTTCATAACTATTTCAGTATATACCTCTAAAAGATAGGGATTCTCCTGAATTAATTCTGATGCATTGAATATCAGGATGATGTTGAAGATCTCCGAGTTGTCTCAAGTGTTTTCATTCTTGAGTTTGTTCTGATCAGACTCCTACATGGTGCACACATTGCATTTCATTGACAGTCTTAAAGTTTTAATCTTCAAGTGCCCTCTTGCAATTCCCTTGCAATTTGCTTATTGGTCATTTATTTATTAGACAATAAATGGGCTTGTTTTGTTTAATAAGTTATTTTTGTTTAGTGAACCTAAATACTAAAAATGCTGATATTTTTATATTTCTTTAAATGAATAACAAAAATCTAAGTTCCAATTTTGAACATTAAAAATCAATATTTAAGACATTCAAATTTTAAATGATTTTTATCTCTGGCTCCTTGTTTAAATGATTTTTATCTCTGGCTCCTTTTTTATTTATCTTTTATTTATATATGACAGCAGAATGCATTACAATTCTTATTACACATGTAGAGCACAATTTTTCATATTTCTGGTTGTATACACAGTATATTCACACCAATTCGTGTCTTCATACATGTACTTTGTATAGTAATGATCATCACATTCCACCATCATTAATTACCCCTTGCCCTCTCCCTTCAGCTTCAACCCTCTGCCCTATGTAGAGTTCATCTATTCTTCCCATCCTCCCACTCCCTATCCCACTATGAATCAGCCTCCTTGTATCAAAGAAAACATTCCGCATTTGGTCTCTTGGGATTGGCTAACTTCACTTAGCATTATCTTCTCTAACTCCATCCATTTACCTGCAAATGCCATGATTTTATTCTCTTTTAATGATGAGTAACATTCCATTGTGTATATATGCCACATTTTTTTACCCATTCATCTACTGAAGGGCACCTAGGTTGGTTTCACAGTAGGCTATTGGTGTGGCTGTGTCCCTATAGTATGTTGTTTTTAAATTGTTTGGGTATAGACCAAGGAGCGGGATAGCTCTGTCAAATGGTGGTTCCATTCCTAGTTTTCCAAGAAATCCCCATACTGCTTTCCATATTGGCTGCACCAATTTGCAGTCTCACCAGCAGTGTATGAGTGTATCTTTTTCCCCACATCTTCGCCGACATTTATTGTTTGTCTTCATAATAGCTGCCATTCTGATCGGAGTGAGATGAAATCTTAGAGTGGTTTTGATTTGCATTTCTCTAATTGCTAGTGATGATGAACATTTTTTCATGTATTTGTTGATCTTCTGAGAAGTGTCTCTTCAGGTCCTTGGCCCATTTTTATCTGACTCCTCCTTGTTTAGTGATTTTCTTAAAAATGTCTTAAAACCTATGAGGTAACACTTCATACCTTCCTTATTGTACAAAATAAGTCTGACTTATACTCCCAGCCCCTCATGAGTATGTTTAAAATAAAAAAAAACTGCATTTGAAAAAAATAACTGAACTCTTCTTTAGTTCAGCAGTATAGTTACTTACTTGATCCCCCCACCACTATGTAGTTTTTTTTTTCCATATTACTTAGTTGTTACGTAATCCCTGGGATCTTTTATTACACAATAGCTAATTATCCTTAAGTATAAGGATACTGGTGCAATGGAATGAATTTTTATTAAATAGTTCTAAATATACATTGCTATTTTCACAGGTGAGCAACAGGTCAACAAGGAGCAATAATTTATTCTTAAATTTATATTTGACAAAATTTTTAAATTCAAGTGAATATTTTACACTAAGATTTTTCTGATTGAAAAGAGAAGACTATATATTTGGTAAAACCTGATTTGAGGTTCTAGGACCATGAATACAGATGCACGTAGAACATCAAAAATATTGGGTTAAAATTATCTTCAAACTACATTTTCCAGGTAAGCACTTCACCCCTCTGATTAACATTATCACTCTGTGTCAAAGATTAGCAGTGAACAAAGTCTACAGGACACAGAATAATACATAGCAGCTGGGGGACAGACTTTTCAAACAGTGTTTTTTGTTTGTCTGTTTGTTTGTAGCTGTATATGGACAGAATGCCTTTATTTCTTCATGTTTATGAGGTACTAAGGATCGAACCCAGTGCCTCAACACGTGCTAGGCAAATGCTCTGCCTCTGAGCTACAGCCCCAGACCTCATAGAGTGTTTTAAGAAACTTGGTTTTCAAATAATAATCTATGAGTTAAGGAAATAATCAAATAAAAAGGAACTAACAAAGGTTTAATTTTATTCACATGTAGTTGCCATTAAACAGTTAACTCATTCATAAAAACATCTGTTATTCTAACATCTTTTGCCACTCATCTCTTAGAAATGAATTCCCACCATGGAGCAGAAGTTATATTGCAAATGGAGCAGAGTAAGTATTCTTAAAACCTTTAAAAATATGGCATCTGAACAATTTCACACAATACGTTGCCTATTAATGTTACATATTAACATCTATGGTAACATGTGAATAATCAGATTTCCTTCCAATATTAAAGGCAGAGTTGACATTTTTTTCAAGAAAGTATTTTTTTCAAGAAAGTATTTAAAACCTGTTAGAGTGGTTAATCCATAGTATGGAATTTAACTTCTTTCTTATATATATCATTTTTTGAAAAAAAAAATCAGATCCAGCTCTGGGAAAACTGATCTTTATTTTATTTCCATCTGATGTATCAATAAATTTGCTCTGACAGTCTACGCAGGTACTCTTAATTAAGAGAAAAACAGATTCTTCTCCATTATACATCAACACCTAGACCACTGTTGTACATTAACATTTTTAAAAGTATGGATAAAAGTAACATGTTAATCATTGGCAAAACTAAGAGCACTCATTTGACTACATATCTTAGCTTTCACAGAATTTTTACTTCTGAGGTCACTAGTCTCAAATACTATGGAGTCTCTCTCATTCATTAATGTAGATCAAGCACCTGACACAGAATAGATGACACAGTGAGGTTCATAAATATTTATCAATGACAACTGTTTTCACCATCAAGTGAAAAAAATATACAACTGAATAAATGGCATGATAATACCACTTCATCTTGCAGCAGTAAGAGCATTCTGTGAAAATTCTAGGGTTAAAGAATAAAATAATTTCCTCCAAAAATAAAGGAGTTCTCACAATGGGGGGAAAAGCCACGGCATTTTATCCTACAAAGCTATTATGCAAAATTTGAAAATAAGTGAAAACCTCAATACTGAGCTACAGCCCTTGCTTTTGAAAAGCAAAGACATATTTGTTTATTAATCCATCCTCTGACAATTTTAACACTAGATGAAAATATTTGTTAAAGATAATACCAATAGAAAATGTCTCCTAATAGAAGATGTCCCATCAGTTCTTACTTTTAGTTCCTGAATCCATGTTAGAGAGTTTTAAAGATGGAAAACACCTATTGGACTCAAATCATTTTTTAAAAATTGACCCAAAATAGGTACTGGATAATTACAACATTTTTAACAGCATCATGACTTTGTCCCATTGGTGTATTCCACCCAGTATTGTTGAAATTAACTAGAAGGAACATCAAATGGAAGTATCTGCAATTTCAAAAGTGATTTAAATTTTTAAATCAAAAGTCACCACTTCATTGTGTCCTAGAATTAGAAAATTCTTAGCACATATTAAAAAACACATTAACCTACTTCAATTAGGTGAATGTCAAGACTTAAAAAAATTCCCCATCATCAAAAATTTTTAAAAAATTTGACAGGTACTATAAAAAAATATTCCACAAAGGGAGAGGGAAGCAAAAAAAAAAAAAAAAAAAAAAAAAAACTACCACACAGTCAAATTTAACTTGTACAGTTAAATTTTTAAATCCTAAACGTTGAATCCTTTATTTAAGCCTGCCTCTCTAAATTTGAAAAGATACCAACGCTCTTGGTTAACAACTGTAAATAGTAGAGAAATTTACTATTATCAATTCTAATACATTTAGTTCATTTTTCTCACAGAAAGAATATCTTTTTTTTCTATCAGAATCCAATAGAAGATTATTATCTCACTTTCTTTGTCACCTTTGAGCCCAGGAGCAATCAGTCCTAATAACCACCAAAACAAAAAAACAGTGTACCTTTATGGCTGATGATCTGTTTCCACAGTAAAAATATTTTTCCAGTAATCAAAATTTGCAATCTGAGGAAATCCTTCACTGTTCTAGAAGCACAGTTCGAAGCTCATCTTCTTTATTGATCATCATTGAAGCAATTGCTCCATCATTAAATTCAAAAGAAGTTCCTCCATCCACAACCATACAGGCATCCCAACAACGAGAACGAACACAAACCCTAAGTAGAAGGAAACATTAAATATTGAGTTTCCTTAACCCTAAACAATAATTGATTTAAATTTTTATCTAAATTAGCAAATAATTTCGACTTGATTTTAACAGTTAAGTTGCTCTTTGGCATGAGAGAATTAGCAACCACATAAATAATATAGGCATACTATCAAAGTCTCAAAATTTATATGTTCCAGATAGTACCCAATATTTATCAGTGAAGAAGTGCAGAGCTGATGGAACTAACAGGCTGTTTTCATATGACTGCTAAGTTATTACCATTACAAATATGTTAAATATTAAACAAGAATGTTATTTTCATGTAAATTTTTTACTTATGGTTAACACAGAAGAGGCCCAAATCACTAAGATACAACTTAACTGACAAACTTACATAAATGTCACCCAAATCAGGAAATCAGTGCCCTCTCCCAGTTGCCTTCTTCTTTCCCAAGCATATCCACCATTCTAATTTCTAACACAATAGTAATAGTTTTATCTGTTCTTAAACTTTAGTAAAATGTGTAAAAATAACATTTATATAACAGGTATCATAGTACATCAGTTTAATTTTCATTTCCTGGATGAACAATAATGTCAAGCACCTTTCTCATGCTTACTGGATACCCACTTTTTGTGAAATGCCTAAGACTTTTGGTGCTTTTTCTACTGGTTTGGCTACCTTTTCATTGATTTGCAGAAATTTTTATATACAGGTTGAGTATCCCTTATCCAAAATGCTTGGAACCAGACAAGTTTTGGATTTTAGATTTTTTTCAGATTTTGGAATATTTATATACAAATAATGACATATCATGGGCTTGGGACCCAATTCTAAATACAAAATTCAATTGTTTTATGTATACTTTATATATACATAGACTGCAGGTAAATATATACAATATTTATGATTGTAAATGTATACAATATTTCTAGAATGTATGTATTTTTGACTGTAACTCATCACATGACATCGGGTATGTAATTTTCCACCTGTATCTTCATGTCTGTGCTCACAAAGTGTAAGAAACTGAAGCATTACAAACTAGATTTTCAGATGGGATGTTCTGGCTATGAGCCCATTGCTGCAAATAAGTTTTGCAAAGCTTTCTCACTCCAGCTTGCCTTTTTCTTAATAGTATCTTTTGATTATTAGAAATTCTTAAATCTAGTATAATTAAATTTATTAGGGAGTCACTTTTAGGGAAAAGGTGACAGAAATGAACCCCACTCCAACCAGGTGGTGTACACCAGTAATTCCAGCAAAGTTGGGAGGCTGAGGCAGGTGGATCATAAGATAGGGGCCAGCCTCAGCAATTTAGTGAGGCCCTAGGCAGCTTAGTGAAACCCTATATGGAAAATTTTTTTGAAAAAAGAGCTGGAAATGTAGCTCAGTGTTAAAATGCCCCTGGATTCAATCCCTCATATCAAAAATAGAAAAAAAGAAATGAATCCTACTCTAACTTTGTGAGCCAGGCACAGTGGCACACACCTATTATTCCCAGGTACTTGGAAGCCTGCAGCAAAAGGATCACAATATGAGGTCAACTTCAGCAATTTAACAAGACTCTGAAATTTTTTTTTTAAAAAGGGGGTGAGGCCCTCCGAGAATGTAACTCAATGGTATAGGGCCTCTAGGTTCAATCCCTAATTACTGTAATAAACAAATATTAATTTGTTCTTATTGTCTCGACACATTAAAAATACAGTAAATCAACATCACCCAATTAAATAAATATACACCTTCTTTTCACTTAAATTTTGGTTTCCCTAAAATAACAATAAATTTGAAAGAAAGTGTTTTAGCCAGGTCAGCATGATACCTCATTAGTTGCACAGATTCTACTTTTCCTGATAGAGTAAGTTAAATAAATGAATCTAATGAAGCTGAATACTCTTACAAACAAATGTGATTTTAATGGATGACAGAGATGAAGAGAGTCACAAATCAGACCAAGTATGCTTACTTTGAGGAGAAACAACGCTGACGACTGCTTGAGAAAACTCTGTTTGCTATTGGTTCTCGAATACTGAAAAGTATTTTTGGTTCTTCTGGACTGTACAGCAGTGATTCATTATATTCATTTGTTACTACAAAGGGGAAAAAAAAAACAGTAGCACATTCAAAAAGGATAGTCACTTCTGAGAAGGGTAAAATGAAATATAAAGGCCATCCCCAATTTAAAAAGGCACTCTGTTCCAAAGGTCTGTTAGGTAGCAAGTTTCCTGGCACTTACAACATATATCCCATGAAAAGAACACCAAAAACAAAAGCCTTAGAAAAGCCTTAGAAATAAATATCAGGTTCCACAATTATTAGCCCACAGTACAATGGAAATAGATACAGTTTGGGGGGAAAGGGGTGCTGGGATAAGTTACTATAAAGCTAGTAATGAAGAAACAGAACTAGTTAGACACACTCAAAAATGTAACTCAAGTTGTCATATTCTCCTGACAAGTTCTTTCCAGAGCTCCATGTCAAAGAGTTGAGGTTAATACTCTTGATATAAAATGCAGTCTCAAACAATGATAGGCAACATGCTTTCTTCAATGAAACTGTCATTACTCAAGATATTTCTAGAAATCAGTAGGCCCTGCTTTCTCTCCATCCAAGAGGCACAGGAAGGTTGGCATGAAAAGTACAAGTGGTTAAAGACAACTGTATAAGATGGTGCAGTGGCACATGCCTGTGGTCCCAGCTACTCAAGAATCTAAAACAAGAGAATCACTTGAGCCCAGGAGTTTAAAGGCTACTATGGGCAGCACAGCAAGAAGCTCTTTATAAAAAAAATAAATAAATAAGGTGATGAGAAGGAGGAGGTTTGAGTGGGGGGTACACCTGTATAAAGAAATCAGGCTTGAAAGTAAGTTTAGTTGAGCACCATGTTAAAAAAAAAAAAAAATCACAAGCCTGTCAAATAATCTACTTTTTTATGAAAATATAATCTGAATTACAAATACTCCTCAACTTAAAACAGAATTACATCTTATAAACCCACCATGAGCTAAAAATATTGTAAATTAAAATCACCTAACCCACTGAACATCATAGCGACACAGAATCTAGGGTATTAACTAGTTCCTCTCCCAATCTTATAGCAAATAGGGAGCTGGAGCTCACTGTCATGGGAAAAGATCAATATTCAAAATTCAAAATACAGTTTCTCCTGAATGCACAACACTTTTGCATTATCAAGTTGAAAAACCATATTTGGCTCTTTAAAAACTTCATCTACCCACAAAAATTAAAATTGGCCTCCTTGGGAACACATCACATAAAACATGTTAGCTCTGACAGAAAATTCACAATAGTTCCAGGAACATCTGTCACAGGGATTGTATCACTGGCATTCACCACTACTTTTGAATAAGACAGTCAAATCTTCAAAGTAAAAACATCCATAAAGCTATTATATATTAAGATAAAAATATACATTTTAGATATATAATTTATATGTCTGACATAACTTCAGTTTCACATATATTTTTTAGGTCTTTGACATATATTTGTACAAATTTATGAGGCACAATGTGATGTTCTGATTCATGTATACACTGGGTAGTGATCAACTCAGGGTAATTAACATATCTGTCACCTTAAACTTTTATCATTACTTTATGGTTATATTTTAAGTTAAATTATATAATTAAGAATTGATTATTATGGGTGTCTAATTTTCCTTCCTTTGATACACATTTAATGCTAATGCTAGTTGATAAACCACAATTAAAATAATCTTTTTGGTCTCAAATTCAAATAACAGAATCTTTTGTAAAGAGATGAAGCCATGAAAAGATAAACACAGACAAGGAAGAACCTTCCATAATGGCACACTGAATTAGGGCATGCCTTTCCTATTTGGAGGACATGAATTTTCCTATACCCCATTACATGTCTACAGTTCAATGTTTTGATATAAGGATTATATTTAGGGCTGTGGTTGTGACTAACTGGTAGAGCACTTGCCTAGTATGTGTGAGGCACTGGATTTGATTCTCAGCACCACATACAAATAAATAAAGGTCCATCAACATGTAAAAAAATATTTTTAAAAAAGGGTTATATTTCATAGTTGACAAAATTCACAAAATAAAAGTCCAACTTTAATTTAAACTTTAAATGTAGTTATATTATTTAACTACATTTAAAAAGATGAATTAAAGAGCACGTTTGAATCCAAAAAAGTACTGTGCTTTCCTAATTGAACAATATTCTACATTGTCATTCTCAAAATTAATTCAAAACTAAATTGTTATTTATATTAATGATGAATATCATCTGTTACTGACCTTTCTCTACCAATTCTCTGTTTAATGGAAGATTCAAATTTCCTTGTCGTTTTGCTAATAAAAGATAAAAAGGGAAATATCTTCATTAAATAGTTTATATCATATAATAACTAATACATATCATATATGCATTATATAGCATATAACAATCATGTTATAACATGTAATAGCTGTTTTGGTACTCACCAATATTTAAAACATCTTCCACAGCCTGAGTTGCAACCCTGTTAATATTGAATGACCTAGAAACAAAAATCACATAATTCTTTTTTGTATTAATTCTAAAAACATGCTTAACATGAAAAGTGAACAATCTACTCAATACACAAAGAATCCTTAGAAATTATTGTTACAAATGAACACAGTTAACAACTGACAATGTTTTGATATAGGTATTAGAAAAGAAGTATTCTCATATACTGTTAGGAATACAACAGCTACAGTTGGAAAGTAATTATGTACTATCAAACTTTAAAATGAACATACTTCTCAATCTAGCAATTTATCCTAAAATATACTTCAAAATATAATGTACTTGGATATATACAGGAAAACTTACTGAAGCACTGTTTATAACTGTAAAACAACTCAAATACACACCCAGAGGAAGGTGATGAAATAAATTATATTAGAGCTACTAGTTATATGATATTAAAAAGAACTGCTGAGTGTAGCTGTGCACTCCTTTAATCCGAGCTACTTGGGAGACTGAGGCAAGAGTATCGCAAGTAAGAGGCCAGTAACAATTTAGAAAAGTCCTAGACAATTTAAGGAGACCCTATCTCAAAATAAAAAAGATTGGGGATGTAGCTCAGTGGTAAAGCACAAGAGAACAAGAGAGAGACAGACAGACACAGACAGATGCAGTGAGAAAGAGAAACAAACCATCAATATGTGCTGATGTGGAAGGATAACTAAGATATTAAGTTAGAAAACAAGAGGCATTATAATAAGGTGTGTGTACATACTAGAGCTATGAAATGATAAATACTAACTTTTCACTATATATATCCTTTTGTACTATATAACATGTTACTTTAATAGTTTCCTCGAAGATGAGAAATGTACCTGTACAATGCCAAATTCTGTCACTTAAAAATAAATATTAGTACAAAATAGATAACCTTTTTTAATTTTTTTTAAATTTTTTTAGATGGACTTTTGTTTTATTCATTTATATGCAGTACTGAGAATCGAACCCAGTGCCTCACCCATGCTAGGCAAGCACTGTGCCACTGAGTCACAACCCCAGCTCCTAAAATAGATAACTTTTACAAATATTCCTGTTCTGACATTTATAAAGATCATAAGGAAAGGTTTTTTAAAAAATTCAGATAATTTAAACTTCTACTGCCTCATACCTCCTCTTACATGAACTTATGAACCAACATAACTTAAACTTAAATCAGTGGCTCTTAACTTCGATGCAGGAATTACTCCCTAAACTCTCTAACTCTATACATTCACATTTGTATACAAATGTAAAAACACTTTGGATATTCAAGAAAAACTATAGATACACAAAAATTTACGTGTAAAATTTACACTCCAATTTCACATTCCAACCACACCAACTTCATTCTTGCCTCTCTACCTTCACTCAGACTTTTGAATTACAATATATAATAGGCAAAAGACAGTGACTAGTATGTCCTTATAATAAAGACAATTTATAAGGAGTTTTTTTAAGTCTTTTTAAAGTTTTTTTAAGTCTTTATAAATTTCTAACTCCTCTGAATTACAACTAGATAAGATTATTTTCCTATGGTTGTAATCTAGACCTTAGTGAATTCATAACTATCTTTAGGAAAGAAAGACCAAGAGTATGCCTACACAGGTGTTAGCTAGGACACAACATACTTTTTGTTAGTTCTAAAATCTTCACCATTCTAAGAGTTCCCATTTGAAATCAGATATAACCTATAATAAATTGAACCAGGCATAATGACACACATCTGTAATCCCAGTGACTCAGGCGGCTGGGGCAAGAAGATCAGCCTCAACAAGACCTATATCAAAATCAAAATAAAAAGGACTGATGATGTTATAATAAGGCACCCCTGGCTTTAATCCCCAGGTACAAAAAAATTTACACAAGAAAATGGAAGGTAAACTGAGTAGCTTTTCTTCATCTGCTACTAATATTCCATGCACAGAAACACCTCTTCACTCTTAAGTCTAATAGTGTAGAATGTATGGAGGAGAACTGGGAAGAGTCTTAAGAAGAAACTCTGAAATACTCTAGAGTATTTGTGAGAAACTAGATAATGTAATTATCACATACTTCCAAAGTATTTGTGGAAAATTAAATAATGTAATTATCTTGGCAGAGAACTGCAATAAGGGGAGAGCTCAGGGGCACTTGGTATGCAGGACAATCACTATACCCCACCCCTGTGGAACAATTTCTAGAAATGCAAAGATGAAATTCCCTGTAATTTTTTTCTTCCCTGGACACATAGTTAGGCTTTATTTTCTAGTCCCTCTGGCCAAATAACCACGTGACTGAGTTCTAGCTAAAAGAATCATGATAGATGACACTTCCAAGCCTGGCTCCCCAGCCTTCCAGGAAACCCTCCATGGTTTTCCTCGTCTTGTGGCTTGATATAGATGAGTACAGCGACTTCAAGAGCTGTGTCTAAAAGATGGCAGAGTTACAGAATGGAAGGAACCTGGCCCCCTATATAACCACTTGAAGGGGAGCTACCTGTCAATTAGGAATATCCACTCTGTACTTTATGAGAACAAGAAATAAACTTCTATTATATTAAACCACTGAGATTTGGAGTTTATTAGTTACATACAAAAAGTTAGCTAACCTGAGTCCTACATTTCCATATTTCTTTTTGAAGACAAAGACTGAGGTCACTTAAGAAAACAAACTTTTCTCTATCAAGAATTAAAAGAAGAGCCAGACATGGTGGCGCATGCCTGTAATCCCAGTGGCTGGGGAGGCTGAGGCAGGAGGATCAAGAGTTCAAAGTCAGCCTCAGCAAAATCGAGATGCTAAGTAACTCAGTGAGACCCTGTCTTTAAATAAAATATACAATAGGGCTGGGGATGTGGCTCAGTGATTGAATGCCCCTGAGTTCAATCCCAGGTACCCCCCACCTCAACAAAAAATTAAAAGAAGAGAACAAGAAATAGATTACACTGATCTTTGCTTTTCAATGTCTCCTTAGAACTTTGCAATTTAAAGTTAAGACTAGAATTTAAATACTGGCTTCAACATTTATTAGCTTCACAGTCGGGGGCAAGTCAATTAACTTCCAAGGCATTTTATATTGTTAAATTAAAATCATATACGTTGAGAGTATTTATGAGAAATTAAATAACGTAACTACCTTGGAACCAAAAAAGTGCTCAGAAATAGAAGTGTGCTAAAACATCAGGATATATAGAAATGTCTAGCTTTCCCCCCAACCCCTATGACCCTTGGGGCTTCTCTTCTCCCTTGCCATTTTATTAAGAGAAGATCAAGCATAGCAAAAAAAAAAAATCATCAGAAATGGGAAGGAGGAGGCAGAACATGTAGGAAGAAACAAGTTATATAGGACAAAGAGCCTCTAAGGTGACAGGAATAGGATAGAGTTAAGAGAGCTCTATTAAAGCATAGGTGATAATAGGTTTTAATAAGCAGTGCAGAGAAGGCTGAAATTCTAAACTAAATCTAACTTATTCAAATGCAACACAGACACAGGACTCAGACTAACAGGTGCATGTAAAGGGTGAGCATTGCAGCGGTTGTCATTCTTTATATTCTTCTCATTACTGGAAATTGGAAAACTAAAACTATCAAAATTACACTCCAGGGCAGAAAGTCAAAGTCCCACTGCCTTTAGCAAAAGCACTATTTCACCAAGATTTGCAAGCTTATCTTAACAATTCTTCAATAAAACTGCTATGGTTTGAATACATCCCCCAAATTCATATATCAGAAACTTAATCCCAGTGCAACAATGTTGAGCTTTAAGAGGTGATTATATCTAAGGCTCTGCCCTCACAAGTAGGTTAATACTGTTACCTCAAGGGTGGGTTCCTGATAAAAAGATGAATTCAGTCCCCTCTCTATCACCCTTCTACCTTCCATGATGGAATAACACAGCAAAAAAGCTCTTACCAGATTTCAACATCTTGATATTGAACTTTACAGCTTCTATAACTGTGAGAAATAGAGCTATTCATTATAAATTACCCAGTCTATGTTGTTCTGTTACAGTAAAACAAAATGGACCAAGACAACAACCTAAAGACTCATCCTTCAATTGTGTGGCCTCTGGAGATGGCTTAGAACCCCTCTTCTTCTCTACTTAAAAGCTGACTCTCCTTTATAAGGTAGCACAATTAACAGTGATACAGTGAAAAAAGCACTGGTTTTTTAGTCAAGCACACCTGTGCTTGCATCAAAGTTCTGAAAGGAGTTACATGACTTTGGGCCTTAACATTTATCCTTGCTAAGCTTACCATCTTCCTTTATAAAAGGGAGATATTACTGTATCTTTTTAAGACTTCTATAAGAATTAATGCATGAAAAGCATCTAGTACAGTACAAAGTAGCAAGGGCTAAATAACTGACAGCTTGAATTATAATGCATAGACTATAAACTTACAGAATCAAAGAAGTTCAGAAGTAATATTATTGCACCTGTTCCATTTCTCTCATCTTGCAGGTAAGGAAATGTGTATGGTTGCAAAGCTAGATAGCAGTTTAACCAGCACTCCTAACTCACAGGCAAGTACTTTTTTAATTATGACACAATTCACATTCTTATGGATAAGAATACTGGGGGAAAAGAGAAAGAACCTGGGGAACTACTTCTAATTCTTACTCCAATTTTCAACAAGTGCCCACCATGTTCAATAGAAACTGCTGCTATGACAAATGAAAGCGGTTAGTTGCAATGTTTCCAATTTAATCTATGAGAAAGTCATAAAATAATTTTATATGGGATATTAGATGATTAAATTTTTCTTTAAATAACTATGGAAAAAGTAATTTTAGAAATGTTCCTCTCAACTAGCCCTCAGGAAAATGAAATGTTAACCTATCTTTTAAAATAATACTTATTTTTCCCAAAATATTATTTTATTTGGCAACAACTAAGTTTTTCCTTAAAAGATACAAAGTTACTTAATGTGACAAATGATATAATAAATGAAATTATACAATATCTGAAAATTACTTCAAAATACCATGGGACAGAAGACATAGGTCAGGCTAGTACACAGAGGAAACAACATTGGGCATTAGTTGATAATTACTGAACTGCCTAATGATACATGGGGATTCATTACACTACTTTGTCTACTCTTACATCAACTGAAAATTTTCTACAACAAAAAGTTTTAAAAGTCATATTGAAAAAGTAGGCAATAAAACTCTAAATTAAACCATCCAAACTTAAAATCAATTTGATAACACTGGTTTAACTATTATTGTGAGCTTATAGTCATTTATTCGAAAAAAAATATTTGAGTAAATATATATTAGGCACTATGTACACACACACACATACACACACACACAGGAAAATAACAGTCGTCACCATCTCAAATCCCTAAAGTTGTTCAAACTATCTGGGTATTAGCATATTAGATTACTAAGAATGTGACAGATGCCATAACAGCACTATGAGAGAAGTGCTAGGGAAGGACAAAAAGGGGATTAATTCATTGTGCTTATGAAAGGAACTGTGTGTTGATGAAGATTTCATAAGGAGAATGAAGACTGGATTTTTTAGCTAGTGGATGCAAAGTTGAGAGTGCTCAGACATTCCAAGTAGGAAAAACTTGCATTGAGCAAAAACAAAAAGGCAAGAGAGAACAAAATATGTGCTGAGAATTGCAAATAGCCTGTGGTATCTGCAGCTAGTGATGAGTAGGGGTAAGGGCAGGAATAAGGCCAGTAAGGTACCCATGGCCACATTTTATAAGCCCTTACATGACAACTAAGTAATATGAACACAGTCAGGGGTCAATGAAAAGTTTTAAGGCAGAACACACAGAGGCAAATCTATCTACACTTTAGAAGTTACTACTCTGTTAATAGTGTGTAGAGGACAATCAGAAGAATAAAAGATGAGACACCAAAGACATCCACTAAAATGATGGGGGCCTGGACAAAAGAAGCTGCAGTAGGAACTGAAAAAGATGAGCAAATATTTGGAATATGCAATGAGCTGGATTAGAGACGAGGCTGTACAGAGAGGGGAATGAAGAATGGGAAGACGGAAAGGTCAGAGCAAGGTTTTGAGAAGTGATGTTTTTTCTCTGGAGCATAGAGATGGTTAAATACTGATGGTATTAAGCAACACAGGGAACATGGAAAGAAAAACTAAGTTCAGTTTTAAATGTGTTGGATTTGATGTCTATTTACATTCTATCTAGCAAATAATTTTAGAATATGAGTATGTTCTTGGGAAAGAAGACAGTCACAAATATGTTTGGGTGGCATCTGCATGTTTCCTTTGGTTTGAAACAGGGTCTCTGTTACCCAGGTTGGCCTCAATCTCCTGGGCTCAAGAGATTGAGATCTTCCTACCTCAGCTTCCTTAAGCCGCTGGGTCTACAGGTATCCAGCTCCCAGCCTCTTTTTGTATTATACTTTGTGTTCATTTACTATTTAAAATATTCTTAACATTTAAAAACTATATAATATCCCAAACCGCTTCCCATTTCCTTTTATATCTTTGTAAACCTAGTGCGGTAGGCCCAATAATGACCAATACAAGTTGCAGGCATAACCTAAGAAGTCTAGGCAGGACTACTAGAGCCAGGTGGTGAGTGAATCAGAAACTGGGCCAAACCTACACAATAACACCAGCTACCTCTTAAGCACCAAAGACCTTAGATGCCCCACTATGAGGTGCCAAATAAGTTACATCATTTAAAATGTTTCACAAATCTTGATAAGCAACATCCCAAACTACTCACCAGGCCTTGGATCCCGTTCCAGTACACAAATTGAGCCCTGAGCTCTTCTGTTTTTCCCACGGGCCATCATCAACTGAAATTTCGTAGTAGGATGCCCTATGAATTGATAATATAAAACTGTTTGCTAAGTTTATGATTCACAATAAAGAAATAGTCTTCTTCAGAACTGATAAATTCTAAGTAAGTAAGTCAACTTAGCCAAGACATATCTTATTTAGTAGGCACATCTCTCAGGTACTAGTTCCAATTTATGTGAAAAAAGTTATAAGGAAAAAAAATTGCATGTCTGCATGTCTTTCTGATCCATATTCTCCTTTCTATCTTTAATATTTCAAACAGGGGCTATACATTTTTAGCTAGCATTGTTGCTACTGCTCTTATGAAATCTAACACAGCTTCATATCAGGATTCAAAAAAGAAAATAACATTCTTAGGTAAATTTCATTCTTGATGGTTAGTCCTTGATATATCTAAATCTGTAATTTTTTGAGTTACTAATGGCTTCTGTTAAACTTGTTTCTTAAGTTATATGCTAATACACCACCTTTTAAATTGGTAACAGTTAAAGTTGTAAAGAAAAATTTCAACCAATTCTCTATTAGCAGACAAAACTAAGAAAAAAATTACAACTGTAATTTCAAAAAGATTCTATTTCTTAGAACACTGTATAACTATGAAATCAAATGGGTTTCCTGACACTACCAAAAGTGATACTATTCTTTAACTCCATGCATACGTAAATGATTTAAAATTATGCAAAGAACTTCTGAAATGTGTAAAAGCCTATTTTGTAAATTATCTTAAAATAATGGTGTCAACACTAAGTTATTTTCAGCAAATACAAATGTTAAATCTTAATAACAACTTTTCAAAATAATGACAATGATTAGACATGATTGCAAACACTAACACTCTGGATGATTTATCACTTACTCTAACCCTTTCAAATTTCTCCTGCAATCTCCTCATTTGTGGTGGTTTTACATAATACAACCTTTTCATTTTTTTCTCTGAAGTTATCATTTCTTATAAAAAATAGCACACCTACTATGCACATTTAACCTATTTCATAGTTTTGTTACATCTTCCTAGAAAATTCATGTTAGAAGCCTATTATGTACAGACAAGCCAAATCCAGAGAAATGGTTGCTACTATGCTAGAATCAAGTAGAAACAAGAAATTAGAAGTAAGTTGGGATAGAAGAGAAGTACAAGGGGAGAGAAAGAAAAGCAAGTTGGGTAAGAGATGCTGAGTCAAAAAAATGAGCAAATTTAGTGTCATTCTCACATGCAGGTTTATTGAGATTAGTCAATTTAAAGAATTTTTGTTTTGGAGAAATTATTTTTTTAAGGCAGCAATAAAACTCACAGTCCCTTTAGAGTGGGTATACTTCTTCTTAAATTGTCCACTGCTACAGCCCAAGAATAAGACATTCTAGGTTAGAACAAATAAGAGAAAAGAAAAAAGAGATTGGGCTTTTAAAATGTTCTTAAATCTAAGAACATTATAAATGAGGCAGGAATAATATTGCTGCACTTCATATTTTCCAAGTGAAGTACTTAGGTTTTTGGAACATAGTAAAGCCTCAACATAGGGTCTGGAATCTGAAATAATGGGCTTACATAAAAATTCCAACACTAACTAATGATATAACCTTGGGCAATTTATTTTAACCTTCCAAATTTTAATTTCTTTTCAGTGATAAATTCGACTACCTTTCTCATAGGGTTTTTGTAAGCATTAATGAGATAACAAACAATACACAGCTTGATACATAGCAGACATCCAATAAATGGTCATTTTTTCCCTATAGCTCTTACATCACAGAATCTTTAAAAGTAAGTTTTAATACCCCCAATATTTAACCAAGTTCAATAGTATCAGAAACCAACTCACTGCTGCCCTTATCTTAGTAAAGATAGTAAAGAGACATTATCCTTGGGACTTCACTGCCTCCCCACATATATCATCTAGTCCCAGGTTTTTCCAAGTTATTTTTTAGTTAAGTACAATGAATAAAGCAATGCTAGTTGAAGCTTGAAGCAGTTAACCATAAATCATTAAATACACAAACAGAATAAAATAAGCCATCAAGTGGCTTGCATAGACAAAGCATAAATTCACAAGACATTTTACCTTTGTCATCTATTTAATTTAATGGACTTTCTCCAATATCACTTGAAGTTGTTGCTGTCTTATGTGTTGGCAATAATAACCAGATTATATCACTAGTTATGGTTACATTTTCTCCTCCTCTCTTTTATCACATAATACTTACTATTCATCTTCATATTGATTCAAACTTGATATATAACCAAAGAAAACAATTTCTATATAGCATAGACCTTACTATGTTAAATACATTTTTACATGTTAGTATATTTTTAAGTTTATTTCCTTGAAGAATAAGGTTTACTTTTAAGACTTTTAAAAATTATATATTTTTCACCCTCCAAAAAATTAAAATACTACCAATGACTTGCACATTGTATCCCCAATGACTAGCACATTGTACATAACAGGTACATGATATATTTTTGTGGATAAATTTGATATTACATACAACAAAAAAATAACAATTCAAAAAGATTATTCAAATCATCCTGCTGACTTAGGTTGTTTTGTTTTTGGTATAGAGATTGAACCTTGGGGCACTTTACCACTGGGTTATATCCCTTGCCCTTATTAAATAAATAAATAAGCTTAATTCTTTTTACTATAACTTGTGTTGATAATAAAGCTATTTACTATTGTCTACAATGTGGATATATTTTAGTTAGACAAATTTTTCTCGTCATAACTAAACTCTTTTTACAAAAGTAGATGGCTTGAAACAAAAGAATTACTAAAAATTCCATGAATTTAGAAAGTTAGGGAATCAATTACACAGCCCCTAAATAGTCACAGGGTTCTGGTAGCAGTAAGTGGGACATAAAACACATACTAATCTTCTTTCCCTAACTTACTGATATCTATAAAAATGATAGGGTCTAAAGTACTGTCAGGTTCTAAAGTACTACCAAACTTTATATTAACTTTACATTATATAAGTCAATTTTTAGCTGGTTAATAAATACATGTCATGCAAAAAATAGTAAAAATAATAAATTGACAAATAAGCCTAAATCACACTTAGGTCCCATACAAGAAATTTTATTGTTAGGAAAGCACATACTATATTTTTATACTACTAATGAGGAACCATATTAACTTTAATTTTTCTTACTAATGGTTATGATTTTGAACTGTATTATGATTTGGATGGTGTTCCCCAAAAGCCAAGAAGGCTTAGAGAAGAAATGATTGGGCTATTAGAACTTTAACCCAATCAGCAAATTAATCCCCCTGATAGGATTAACTGGGTGGTAACTGAAGACCGTTCGGGTATAGCTAGAGGTCGGTCTTTGGAGGCTTGTATTTGGGGTATGCATTTTATATCTGAGGAGTGAAGTCCCTCTGCTTCCTGATCATCATGCGAGCTGCCTTCCTCCACCACACTCTTCTACCATGTTGCTCTGCCTCATCTCAAGTCCCCAAGGAAAGGAGCCAGCAGTCTATAGATTGGGACTTCTGAAACCCATAAGCCCTCAAATAAACTCTTCCTCTTCTACAGTTGTTCTTTTAGTCACAGAAGTGGAAAAGCTGACTAAAACAGAAACTAGTACCAGGAGTGGGGTTGTTGCTGTAATTAACCTGACCATGTGGTTCAGAAGCTTTTGGAGCTCTTAGAATTGGTGGGAGGAATTTTGAGATGCTTAGTAGTACAAGCTGGAAATGGTTTAGACTCTTGTAAGCAGAGCTTAATTTCTACTTCTGGTGGGTGCTCAGAAGACCAGAATATCTACAGGACCAAGGACAGTAAAGACAGGGCTCAAGAGGAATCAGAGGAGGACTCTATTGGAATTTGGAGTAGAAGCCATTCATGTTATGCTCTGGCTGAAAAGTTGCCTGCATTTTGCCCGTGTGCTGAGACTATATGTGAGGCTGATTTTTAAAGCAAAGGACTCCTTACTGTGGTGGAAGAAATTCCTAGACAGCATAGCAGTCAGGTGGTGGCATGGATATTGCTGGCAGATTGTAGCCAAATTTATTGTGATAATCAGGAGAAGAAAGCAGAGAAAAAAGATTTGAAAAACTTAGACTTGAAAGGTGGGTCACTGGGGGGTGTGCCTTTGGGGTATGTTTTTGTATCTGGCGAGTGGAGTCTCTCTCTACTTTCTAATCATCATGTGAGCTGCTCTGCTCTACCACACACTCTGCTGCCAGGATGTTTAGCCTCACCTTGAGCCCCAAGGAATGGAGCCAGCTGTATATCGACTGAGACCTCTTAACCTGTGAGCCCTCAAATAACTTTTCCTCCTCTACAATTGTTCTGGTTGGGTCTTTTAGTTACAGCAGTGAAAAAGCTGACTAAAGCAAACTATCAATATAATTTTCTTCAAATGTGTTACACTAAAAAGAACACATTACCACCTAGGTAGCATTCTTGTCAATAATGCCTTATCTGAATCTTATCATGAAGTGAAAACAAAATTATACAAATAAAAAAGAAAAAAATCATAATTCTGCAAACCAGCTGGCTTAGACTACTCTAAATTATTAATATCATAAATGACAAAACAGGTGGGGCTAAGGAGCTATTTTTAATTTTAAAGGACTACAAATGAGCAGATGCAATATGTGATTCTTAACTGGATCTTGGATAAAGCCAAGCAAACAAACAAATCAACTTTAAGACACTAAGACCAATTAATGGAGAAATTCTCTATTATTTGAGAAAGGTCTTTCTATATAACCCAGGTTGGCTTCAAACTCCTAAATTCAAGCAATCCTCCTAACTCAGTCTTCCAAGTAGCTGGGACTATTGGCATATGCCATTGCACCCAGCTCTAGTGGAAAAATTTAATATGGAATATCTATAATATAGAATATTATACCAATTGCAAATATACACTTACTACATCCCTCATTAAATATTTACAAAGCACCTAATATAATAAAGATACTGGGAAGTATTAAAGAAACCTGATACTGTTTAATGTAGGGTTTCACAAATTTTTCTGGTCATGAACCTTTCTTTTCCCTTAATATGTATCAATAGGTATGATGGTTTGGGGAAAATTTTCATTAAATAATTTCTACTACTTATACAGTATTAATTATTCACAAATCTTAGTCAACTTTTGGACATTAATATCCAAAAAGTACTAACATATTAAATTATATAATCAAGATCATGGGTTTAAAAATACCTGGATGATAGACTCTCCCCAATAAAGACTTCATTTAGAGCTCTCACTGGCAAAAGTTGGGGTCCTGAAGTCTCCGACCCTGCAGTAATAGGAAGGAAAAAAATTACCAAGAGAGCTCCTTGAATTTTAGAAGTATTATAATAAAAATTTGTAAAACATTAAAAATTTACAGTTTTAATAAAATCATATTACCTATTACAGTTAACATATAAAGTAAATATCTTAAAGTATACAAAATATAAACCTTAAAGTCATCTAACCTTATACCAAACAAATGAAGCTTCTGTTTCTCCAGACTAAACCTTATTTATTCTTGAAACAACTTTTCCAGAGTAATAAAATACATTAATTCAATTCACAGTCCTTGTCACAGCTTTATACCCTGCAAGTTTCAGAGGTAAAACTGACCAAGTAGAGCTGTGGTTATAGCTCAGTGGCACAGCACTTGCTTAGTATGTGTGAGGCACTGGGTTTGATCCTCAGTACCACATAAAAATAAATAAATAAAATAAAGGTATGTAAAAAAAGGCAAATATATATTTTTTAAAAAACTGACAAAGTACACCTAAAGAAATGCCAGCTTGGATTTAGGTATCAAATTACATGCATGGTTCATGTTAGAAACCAAACTAGAAATGGAAGAATAAAATCAGTTATTTTGTTTTTCAAATAAAACCTCAAAAAAGGTTTTTAGCTACAAAAGCATCATAGAAACACTACAAAATCTCCCTTCAGGACTCCTAAAACATGTCATCTTTTATTTTTTAAAATCTATAAGGCTGTGTGCTTGGTTTAAGTAATTTTCCTTGATGATTATTTAAGCATCACTCCATCCCAGAAAACTCCAAAAGATTTTTAGTGTTTTTTTTTTTTTTGGATCAAACTTGAGATTATTACCTTCAAGAGTCTCCCCTTAACTTCATCAGTTTCCAAATAGAAATGCCAATCTTATCTTATCAATGTCACAAATAGCATATTTATTGCACTCAAGTATCACACAATAGACAAGTACCATGTGGCAAGTTCACTTTTCTGTCTCTTCTACCATTTTTCCTAAGTCCATACTTAAAAGTCAATCCCTTTGTGGTAGGCAGCCTCTAAGATGGTCCCCAATGATTCAGGCCTCCTGGTATTCAGACCCTTGTGAATACACCTACTCTCCTACATCAAAAAACAGGGTTGTCCAAACTGACAAATAGAATATGGCAGGTTGGCAGATTAGGAAAGAGGACACTGGCTTCTACATTGGCCCCTCTCTCAGCTCACTTGTTTAGGGAAAGGTGTGCAACAAGCAGCCCTCTGGAGATGCAAATGTGCTAAGGAACAGAAGCCATATGCTAACAGGTGATAAACTGGGAAGCCGATTCTCCAGTCCTAATCCCATCTTCAGACCCTAAACCAAAACTACCCAGTCAAGATGCTCCTGGATTCCTGACCCTCACAATCTACATAAGATTATAAATATTTAAAATACTAAATGTTGCGATGATTTGTTACACAGCAATAGACAACAGATACTAATACACAACAGATACTGAATACACTAATAAAGCACCAATGTCACCAAAAACAGTCACTGATCTATTCTCCTCTGACTGGCTAGCCTAATTTTATATTTTTATGTTTACTAAAGAGAACACCAATTATATTTTTCTTATTTAACTATTCCTTCAAATACAAAATATTGTTATTACAATACAATCTTTTGAGCACCTGCTATTTGCCTAAATTATCAGTTTGAACTCATACTACAGTAGACAAAGTTTGACACAAATAGCTATATGAAAAGACTTTATGCTTTATCAAATCTGACTGCACTTAAGACTGTAAAAGAGGCTAACTTTTGAAACCATCTTAATTTGCTACTAGATATATTCATGACTTCCTGAAAGTTTCACAAATGTAAAACACTAAAATTTATTGTTTAAATTTTTTTGGTTCATTTGGTATTGGGGATTGAACCCAGGGGCACTATACCTCTGAGCTACATGCTCAGTCCCTTTTTTTTTTTTTTTTTTTTTTAATTTTTGAGACAGATAGGGTCTCACTAAATTGCTTACAGCCTCACTAAACTGCTGTGGCAGGCCTCAAACTTGTGATCCTCCTGCCTTACCCTCCCATCCCCCCAGTCACTGAGATTACAAGTCTGTGCCACTTGCCCCACTTAAATTCTTTTTCTTTAAATAAGGTAACTGAAAGAATTTGTTTTAAACTTCCAACTGCCTACAAATTTCCTACACGTATTCAAAAGTGAGTAGTAACTAATAAATTTGAACTGTGGGAACCATATATGTTTTTAAATGTGATCTTGACTTTCCCTATTCCTATTTTCCCTAATTTTCATCTCCATATTAACATTTTTACTGTATGTGCTTGCTGAGTGGTCATCTTAAAAACTTTTGTCAAATCAAATGATGGAGAGAATAAAATTACTTTATGTTTCATTAATCATCTAATTCTTCCTATATTTTCTTTCATGCTAAGTGACTACCAAACTTTACCTAATCACAAAACTGTCCGTCTATAACTTGTTTCAATAGGACATGAGTCCAAGAGAATGAATTATGAAGTTTTAAACTCCATTTTTTACTATAGAAATGTTAAACTTGTGACAAGAGACTACCACACAGTAATTCTCTCACATTCTCATACTGCTAGATTTTATTTCCACATCAGCTCACACTGGGTTGGAGCCCTGAGCAGGTAATGGCCAATGGAATATGGGCAAAGTGATGAAAAGGCCTGGCTCTTAAAACTTTCTTAAGCTCCTTCATCCTGCCTAGATTCTTCACCCAACAAAAAAACAGAGGGTACAATAGAAACTCAGAGGCCTTAGAATATAGCAGGAAGCACAATTTGGAAGGAGCCTGGATTGCCTAAACACCTCTCAGTGTTTGATCTAGAAATAAAATGATCTAGAAATAAATAAATATTGCATTAATCCACAAATATATCAGGTATTGTTTGTCAAAACAATTCACCTCTCTAATTAGTACAACCAGCCTAGAAAATAAGAAAATTACTAAATTATTAATTTATAGGGTACATTGTCATGTACTTTTTAAAAAAAAAAATTTTTTTAATTCTTTTTTTGAGGGGGTGGTATTAGGGACTGAACCCAGAGGCCCTTTACCACTGAGCTACAATGCCCAGTCCTTTTTATTTTTTATTTTGAAGACAGGGTCTCACTAAGTTGCTAACGATGGTCTTGAACTTGCGATCCTCTTGTCTCAGCTTCCCAAACCACTGGCTCGGATTACCCAGTTCTTGTATTATTTTTTTTATTTTGAACATTTTTTCTCTTCTTTTTGTACAACTCCCATTAATCAGATGTGAACATCCTGGACGTAAATTTATATGTACTTGTTTCTATATATGAACTACTTAGTTTATAAACTAAATCCACTGAATCTGAGGTGGGTATCTAAGTAGTGAATCTCTGTATATCAGTGTACATATTTTTTAAAATTAAATGACTACTGATGAAAAGGGCCAATTCACCATCTTTTGAATACAGCAGTAACTTCTTTCAGTGAGTGAAAAGTAAAATATCTATGATTTTAAAATATTAATAGTTACTAATGGTTTTTAACAACAATAGCAAGAATTCACAAGGATATAATTTCTTTAAAATTTTCTTAAAATTCAAGTGGGGTTTTATTTGAGGGAAAAAAAAAAAATCACTTTTTCCCTTCTCTTACTGGCAACTGAACCCAGGGGTGTTTTGGCACTAAGCTATATCCCCAGTCCTTTTTATCTTTTCATTTTGAGACAGTCACTAAATTGCTGAGGCTGGCCTGGAACTTGGGATCCTCCTGCCTCAGAATAAGTCACTGGGATTACAGGAGTGAACCAGTACACCTAGCAAAAATTATACACTTTACAAGCTTGTTAGACTATAAATCTATAAACTACCATGAAAAAGCTCTGAAAGAAAATAAAAAGGATATAAACATCAGGTAGCATGACAGAGCAGAGACAGAAAGCAAGAAAGTAAAATATAGATTCCTGATAAGTTTACCCAGAAAAATGAAACATTGGAGGAAAAAAAGTATCTTTTTATACAGTCTACAAATATTTCTCTTGGGATCTTCCTGCACCAGGAGAATCTTACAATTTCTGGAAAACTAGAAAAATTTAGCTAAATAATAATCCATAAATTAGCTCACAATTGAGAATTCACCTTAACCCTTATATAAAAAAGGTACAAATTACCTTCCCTTTATATTCTCCTTAAAATACTTCAAATGCAAATCTTAAAACTGGAATGCAAATTTTCCCAACAAAAAGTGTGGTTTTATTTTGTTTAGGTACAGCAATTGAACCCAGGGGCACTTAATGACTGAGCCGTGTCCCCAGCCCCTTTTTTTATTTTGAGACAGGGTCTTGCTAAGTTGCTTAGGGCCTCCAATTGCTGGGCTGGCTTTGAACTTGTAATCCTCATGTCTCAGCCTCCCAAATACAGGGATTACAGGCTTGAGCCCCTGTGCTGAGCTAAAAGGTTTTATTTAATAATAACAGTAACTATGGTAAATGTACCTTAAGGTATAATATGAAATTTTCTCCAGATTAGTCCAAAGATCTTCCCTTAAATATCAACTATTCATTTAGGTATTTCATAATCTTTCCCTGATCTAGTTTTTAAACCTGTTCCAGAAAACATTTTCTCTAGAAATATGCTATATTTCTTACTCTGGATTTTAATTACAATAAATTTTACAGCAGAAGGACTTCACTGTACTTCCTTAAATATTGTCAGGGGCACTAAGTTAACTATAAATTATACCCCATAGAATTAGAAGTCAAAAGAACCAGAAGTTAAATATTGCCCTAAACGCTGATTCTTATTTCCAATCTACCTACTTTCATCATCAACTCTTTCAATGTTGAAGGCTCTGCTATGCTGATTCAGACTTAGTTGCTGTTCATGAAGATCCACAGGAATGGGGTTTATGCCAGTCCCTTCAAGGTATAACCTGATACGCTGCCTCCATAACCACCTTAGAAGAGTAAAGAAAAGAAAGTTAGGCTAAAATAGAATACACTACACTAAGGATTAGACAAAATAATAAATTTAAAAAGTAAAAATGCATATTCAAAACAGGCTATTCTATGATAAATTATACCAGAAACACCTAAAATCCAGGTTCCTATTCAAAGACAGATTCGGATGTTTATTTTTCTTTTAAGTTATAATGGAAATACCTAATATATTCATACAAAATCTTCCAAGTAATTTGAACTAAAATGAAACCCTTTTATCAGGAATCCATTAAGTCCTGGACAACTGAGCTAGACATAGTCTTATATTTTCCTCAGCAAAAAGTATTATACAAGAAAAAAGTATTCTAAAATCAAAAAAGTATCATGTTAAGGTGGTTGTATTATATTCCCCCAAAATTTCATAATGATGGTATTTTTAAGGCAATAAAAGGAAAAAGATTAAAAAGTAACAAATGTAATGTTACACTAAAGTCTTATATGATGCTTTTGGTAAAAGTAAAGAAAAAAGGAATTGTGTTTAATTGATTTCAAAACCAATAGGACAGATTCTGCTGGGTAAGCATACAAAAGTATATTCCCACTTGGGGAGTTATAGTAATTTCTATAGGTATCAAATTTCTGAAATAACCTAGAAACTGAAATCAATGATAATAAAGTGGTGATTCTAGAAAAGTCAAGATTTTGGAGTGCAGTTGAGTAGGAAGAATAACTTTTGTTCTATAACACAAAAGGATGACTATAGTTGACATTAATTGAATATTTAAAAATATCTAGTAGAAAGGATTTTGAATGTTCTCAATGCAAAGAAATAATAAATGTCTGAGGTGATAAATATGCCAATTACCCTGATCTGATCATTATACGTTATATACATACATCAAAATGTAACATTATATCCTATAAATATGTACAATTACTATGTGTCAAAATAAAAACATTTTTTTAAAAAAAGTTAAAACAATTTTGTAAATACATAGGGAAAAAGTTTCTTCAAACTACAAAAAAGTAGTCCAACTTGGCTTTCCCTATCTCATATATAACCAGCTAACCCTATCTCAGGTTCTGTATCCACTAGCCTCTTTTTATGAACACATGAAGTAAAAAGAAACTTTTTAAAATCCCCTCTCTGCTTCCCAAGAAACACATAATATGTAAGACAGAGATACCAGGAATCTCAGCACTGCTGGATTAAAAATCCAACCCTACGTTCGTTACTGGATAAAAAGTAAATATAAAAAATACAAAATCTCAAAATTTGAACCTTCAATTTTAACAAACAGTTTTAACCATTTTTCTATTAAACTGCTAAAAACATATTATAAGGTTAAGAAAGTAGAGACAGGTCTCTATCACACTGAAAAAGAAAAAATTCTACTTGTATTTAAGGCCAAGTAACATTTGTCAAGGTTCTTTTACAGGATTCCAAGTGGACTAGGGGAAGGTAAGTCTGATCTGTTCATGACTCAGGTGATATATTACATTTTATGGCTACTGCTATAACTATGAAATAATCCAAATATCTGACTTGTTCCATTTAAAAAACATCATTACTAAAAGTACATACTTATTAAATATAAAAACAATAGTAAAAAAATTCCTACCTGAACTCACCACGATAGAACTTCTGTAAGGCTTCTGGGAAGGAATGTGTATATCGAACAGGCAGACATAAGTGACCCTCTGACCTTTATATTAAAAGAGGATTTTAGGGTGGTGTAAAGGGGAGAAGAAAAAAGGTGAAGGAAAAAAATTCAAAAAGTATCACTAAACTACAAAAATCAATTTGAAAATTTTTAAAATTCTACTCTATACTTCATTTTTTGCCACAGAACTGTCTGTACTTTCAACAAGAATGGAAATAGTAGTTGACATCAGTTTTAATGTCAAAATATAAAGTTCCCACATTATGGTGAAACTAAAAATAAGAGCAAATCTACTATTAACTACTCTGTTATCTAATAGTTTAGTGATATTTTCATTTTACCTTTAAATTTTTTAACTATTACCTTTGGACAACCACTTTAGTATCAATATCCTTATTTCTAAAATCATGATAAAACCATCAATCATGAAAGGTTATTCTGAGGAACTATTTATACAAAAGCATTTTGAACCATAATCCCTTTTTAAATGTCATTTAAGATATTCTTAAATAAAAACAGAACTAAGAAAGTTTAATTCAATTTTCATTTATTTAAAAAAATATATAAGAATGAACTTCAACAAATTCATAGATTGAAGAAGAAAACAAATTGCAAATTTCAAAGTGGTTAAGATTCCCTGTAAGTTGCTACAGGAAAATGAGACCATATGGCCCCCAATAAAGTCCAGCAAGACAACACATCATCATTTGTATGCTGCTTTGATCTTGAAGGAATGACTGAAGGTAGGCTTGGCAAAATAAACTCGTGACAACAAATTTAAATTAATTTATAAACATAAAGTGAGGAGACAAAAGGTTTTGCCAAGTTGTGACTAGTCAGTTCCTTCATCTAAGAGGGTCAACACTGAAGTTAAGAAAAGACAGGGTCTAAGTTTTTAAAATTTTTAATTCACTGTAATACTTCACACAGTGTTAAGTATATAAAAGGTCTCAACAATCATTTGTTAGAACAATACCTGAGGTCAACTGCAAGTCTGAAACACTGTAGAGAGAAGATCTCTCATGAGATTATAGTCACATCTCAATCAGGACTGCAAGTTTCTGAGGGCTTGACATGAGCTATCAGATCCACTTTCAGGTTGCTCAATGTTGGCAAACTGCTGCTGGCTGTTGGCAGGAGGCCTTGATTTCTCTCCTTGAGAGGCTCTCCAAAGGGCTGCTTGAGTGACCTCACATCATATAACTGACTTACCCCAGCATGAGCAATCCAAAAAAATAATACAGAAGTTGCAATATACCATTTATGACTGGCCTTGTAATCCTCACATTGTCAAACCATATTTTGTTGGTCCGATAGACCAGCCCTGATTGAAAACAGAGGGAGAGAGGACACAGAGAATATAAATACCCAGAGGCTGGCTACCGCTTGTCCTCTACTCATTTTCAATATTAATCACTCAAATGTTCATTATTTACTAAGCTCAGTAGAGTAGTTAAAGAATACAGAAGACAGACTGAAATCACATCTAATTTAGATGAATGAGTCTAAGTGTGTGAACCATCTTGGAAGTGGATGCTCCATACCAAGTGAAGCCTTCAGATGCCTGCAGCCAAGCTGATGTCTGACTATGACCTCAGGAGAGACCCCCAACCCCAAACTACCCAGCCAACCTCCTCCTGAATTCCTGATACAAAGGGAACACAAGAAATAATAAATAATTGTTTAAGGCCACTAGGTTTGCAAGTGATTTGTTATGTAACATTTCATAAATAATATAGAAAAAACCTGAATTTGAGACAATCTGAATTAAATAACAATATGTTATGTCAGGAGGCCTAACATATTCCCCTAGTGTCAAGAAGAGAAAACAATTTTTGAAATCTGCTATTCTAGGGAGAAAATAGCTATATTAGCACAATCTGTTTACCAGTTTCAAAATCCCCACAAGTTTATGAATATTAAGTCAGCTCTTTAAAGAAAAATATAGTTCAACAAACTGTAAAATATGATTACTAAAGTATCTCATACCTTAATGATACAAATAGGCTATTAAGAAATTCTAAATCCCAGATATCAACCCTGAAGGCAATCAAAAGTTAATTATTGGACTAATGATCTCAATTATTTACACTCAGGGAATATTTACACAGCTAGATTGAAGTCCTAGCCCTGCTCCTTAAGACCATTTAATTAATCAGTCATTTTTCAAATGTTTATTGCCCCACACAAAAAATTATGCTAATGATAGAAATTAAAATACAAGGTCCTAAATGTATAGTCTAACAGAAGAGATAAACAGAAAACAATATAAAGGGAATGCTCTCTGGATACAGACTCCAGTTAGAACCCAAGAGAGGAACTGGTCTTGAATAAACAAAAACTATAGAAATGAATTTGTACACTCAGTCTTAAAGGAATGGCTAAGGATAGGCTGGCAGAGGTACATATAAAAGCACACACATACAAAATGAGCATTCCAACCAGTGGTGGCACACGTCTGTAATCCCAGCAGCTCAGAAGGCTAAGGCAGGAGGATCACAAGTTCAAAGCTGCCTCAGCAATTCAGCGAAGCCCTAAGCAACTTAGCAAGTCCCTGGATATGTGGTTCAGTGGTTAAGCACTGCTGGGTTCAATCCCTGGTACCAAAAAAAAAAAAAAGGCATTCTGGAGAAGTCTCACCTTTTCAAATCATGCACTATTTTATGTATCAACAAAGCTTCTCACCAGAGTAAGAGCAGCTCAGAGCCTCCATACATGGTATTAGCAGATACTCATACAGTTAGATTTTGTCCTAAGCCTTTAGGAAGAATCCTAGGCTGTTCCCAGAAGGGTTTCAATATGTGTATATAATTTTGTAGCTTAAGAATAGAATGCCTGTGAGTATATGAGGATAGATGAAACTAGAAAAGCAGATAAGTAACAGATGTTGAAAGATCATACATATTAACTAAGGAATTAATCTTTTCATTAAGGTTTGAATGTGAGGTGATCCTGTATTAATGCTCCTGTGTTAATGAAGATGAAATGAAAGCTATAACCTAATCAATAGATGAATCCATTTGATGGATTAATAATTTGAATGAACTAACCGGGTAGTAACTGTAGGTGTAGGCAGGTGGGTCATGGCCAGAAGCAGCAGATCACTGGGGGCAGGTTTTTGGAATTCATATTTTGTCCCTAATACCTCTCTCTGCTTCCGTGTGATGTTCTGCCTCACCTCAGGACCAAAGCAATGAAATTGGCCAACCATGGACTGAACCTCTGAAACTGTAAACCCAAATAAACTTTCTTACTCTTGTTCTATCAGGTAATTTTGTCACAGCAACAAAGAGCTAACACAGAAGAAATGGATATAATCAGATTTACATTTCAGAAGATGGCAAAGTGTAAAAGATGGGTTGGAAGGTGAGAGATTGAGAGTTATTGGAATGATTTAAGCTATGCTTAGTGGCAGCCCTAGGACAACCAGGCATGGACTCAAGAATAAGATTCCTTAAACTTAGAATCAATTTGATGATACAGTGAAGGAGAAGTAGTCATATATGTGACTCGGGCATATGTGATGATTCCATTCATCAAGCATGACAAAGAGAAAAGGAGAAATCATTTGTAGATAGGCTGCATTTTCTTTTGTTTTTGTTTTAATTTCTTTTTTTTTTTTAGTTGTAGATGGATCCAATACCTTTATTTTATTTATTTATTTTTATGTGGTGCTGAGGATCGAAACCCAGTGCCTCATGTGTGCTAAGCAAGCACTCTACCACTGAGCTACAACCCCATCCCTGATATGCTGCATTTTCAATACATGAAAATAGAATATCATGAAAAAAGGGAAAAATAATAGAAGAGAAAGAGTACAGAAAGGAGCCAGATAATATAGAGCCAGATAATGTAGAGTCACTGTGATCAACTGTCCCCCAGTTTGCCTGGGACTGACAATTTCCTGGGATACAACACTTTCAGAGCTAAAATTAGAAACTTCCTAGGAAAAGCAGAATGAGTTGGCCAAGCCAGCCTCACCAAAGAATTAAATTCTATTCTGAATTAGAAGGAAGATCACCATAATACTCTGAGTACAGAAGTCACATAATATCATTGCTAGCTGCAGCAAGAAGAGACTAAGGATGAGAATGGAAGAAAGAAGATGGTATAGAGAATGAAGGAGTAAAAAAAAAATGGTCCAGAGCACAACAGTAATTAAGCAGTGACCAAAAAGTAAAATCCTTCAAAAGACACAAAGAAGTAGTCATAGAGAAGAAAGCACATCATAAACACCAATGAAGTACACATGCAGCAAATGTACAGTCAACACTACAAACTTTCCAGGAATCTAGTAAGAAAAGGACTAAAATGTCCAGTAAACTCAGTAACTAGGAAGCCACTGAGATGTAAGGCAAACGCATCATCAATGAACTAGTCAGGGGAAAATTCAGAAAAAAAAACTGCAAAGATTTAGAAATAATTGGGCAGTGAGGAAGCAGAGATAAAAAGCTAGGGGCTAAAGGGAAGGAGATGGGATAATAAACAACAGAGAAATTTTCTTGAATAAATAGAAGTCTGGCTAAGAGATTTAAGGCTAAGAGAAAGTAGATGCAAAAGAAGAGGGGAAAAAAGGAACAAATCATAGAACAAGATTTTTTTTCCCCTGAGAAAAATTAGGAAGTTTCATTTCTTGTGTGAGAAAAGAGAGTCTTATTGAAGGAAGGAAGGAAGGAAGGAAGGAAGGAAGGAAGGAAGGAAGGAAGGAAGGAAGGAAAGGGATAAGAGCAGTATTGAAAAGCTGAGGAGCCAATCTTAAAGTAGCCACCACAGGAAATGGGAAAGAGAGATGACCAGGGCTGCCTGTACAGGCAACTCTAAGGATCCTGTTCTAAGCCCTGAAGACTTCAACTTGGAAGTGCCCACGTTTCTATGATCTCTTTCCCCAGATATCTTTCCAACCCTATTATAGTAGTAGAAAGAATATAACAGACTGATCTAGGAATGAATAAAAATATTTAAGAAACTGTCAAGAAAGTAAATAAAGTGAAGAATTAAATGAAGAAAACAAGGGAGGCTAAGCACTCATTCAAAGGGCGGATTTACTGGGATAAGGGAATAAAACTGCTGTTAAGGTAGGAGACTATGTTCAGAGTGGATTGTAAAGAAGGGAAAATTCCAAATGATCATAAAGTCCAGGTATGGTAATGGCTGTGAATGACTGGAATAAAATAAGGTTAAATACCAGTGAAGCTGGGAAAGAAAAAAAATTAAATAAACACAATAGTGTTTGGATAGGTCTATTCTTGAAGTAAATCAGAACCATCAGCATAATTAGGAATGTAATAATTAGGAAGGACAGAAGATGGAATATTATTAACTTATCCCTCTTCAGCACATATCAAAAGTCCCAACATACACTTGTTCAAGAGCTCAGGTCTATTCTACCACAGATCCTACTCTCAAACAACCTAAAAAGCTAAATATGAGGACTAGTCCATCCCATAACACAATTAACACCAACACCAGAGAGATGCATATGTATTTCTCTGTCTGAGCAATAATTAGATCTGTCCTTGAAAAACCACATAACAGACAACCCTAGTAAAGACGGTGAATCATTCTATATGCCAAATTTTTATCACTGTTTTGGAACATGGTTCTAATGTTCATGGTAGCCAGAAATGCTGATGCTTCTATTTAAATATCATGTACCACAGTAAAATTCCTCTAACAGAGCCTAACAGTATGACTACAGTAAATAAAAAGTAGTTTGCTAATTTTAAGATTTCTCATACATACTATATAAAAAAACATAGAATTATCTGTATATATAACTTGAAAAGAAAAAAAAAAAAAAAACCACAAACAAAATGCAAAAAGAACCTGTTCTTCCTTACCGTTCTGGATCAGTGTTTACCCCTATAACTGGTTTCAGTCTATCCAAGACTTTACTTGCTGCCAGAAGCATTGTGCCATCACCTGTGACAAAAGACATAACCAGACCTATGTTTTACAACCTGTTTTTTTACATCATTTTCAAAATGACCACCTTTGTTTTAACAATCACATCCTACCATGTTGACTGCCAGAGCCTCCCCCTCTTCCTTTCTACCTCCTCTACCTATGTTATTATCCCCACCACTGTAATTCTGAATTTCAAAGGTAGCAAAACTGACATGGTAAGCAGAAAAATTCTTTGCTGCTGGGCTGTCCTGTGCATACAGAATGTTTAGCAACATGTCTACCCAGTTGGGAACCACTGCTCCAATCCCAAAATTTATCTTTCCTCCTCCTATAACACCAGTCCAAATTCACAAATTATTTTAGTGAGAACACATGAAGTGTCCAACTTTAGAGTCTTCTAACAACTATTGTCAATGTAAAGGTTTAGAATGGATGGTCAGTAACAATAATACAGTTCAGGGAAAAAAAATTAGTGTAAGTATATTGGAGCCAAAAAGGGACAGAATTTATCTAGTTTCACTACACTATCAACTTCATTTTTTCTTTTTTTAAAGACTAGCATAAACCAAAATACAATTAGAACTAATCCTCTGAATTATATTTGAAGTTAAAAGCACACTTTAAACATACACACAGAAATACATAGGTGAAACCTCACAGTAAGATCATTAATTATAAATATGGAATATTGTATAAAACAGAGATGTTTCTTCAGGCATGGTGGCACACACCTATAATCCCAGCAACTCAGGACACTTGAGGAGGCAGGAAGATTTCAACTTCAAGAACAGCCTCATCAACTTAGTAAAACTCTGTCTCAAAAGTAAGAAATAAAGAGGGCTAGGGATATCTCAATGGTAGAGCATTCCTGGGTTCATTCCCCAGTACCACAAAAATAAATAAATAAATAAATAAAACTTGCCTGTTTTAAAACTTATCCTTAAAAAAAAGGGGGGGGGAGGCTGCGGATATGGCTCAAGCGGTAGCGCGCTCGCCTAGCATACGCGGGGCGTTGGGTTTGATCCTCAGCACCACATAAAAATAAAATAAAGATGTTGTGTCCACCGAAACTAAAAAATAAATATTAAAAAATTCTCTCTCTCTCAAAAAAAAAAAACAAAAAAACAATTTGTCTTACGGTAGGACTCCAAAGTCTTGAAAATAGCTATATGAAAACATATTTGGAAATAACATGTATTAAAGAACGTTTCCACAATCCAACATCTTTATTTCTATAAGACAGTTACCTCCTGCAGCTATGACTGCATCTGCCCACCGAACAGTCTCTTCATCATATTCTCTCCTCTTTACCAGACGAACCTCAATTCCTTCTTTCCTAAGATAAAAAAGTAAAGGTTTTATAAAATTTTCATTGATAACATATAAAATGAGTAGGTTTTCTCAGAGGCAAAAGAGACATAAAATAATTTTATGTTGCATAAGCAAATCCATGTGTAGCTTTATACAATTTCTTTTCATTTAATAACAATAGCCAATTAACTATGATAAGTCAGGAGGCAAATGAATAAACTAAAAGGTATCACCAGAGTCTCCAAAGTGCTTTAAAAACATTCTTTATAACTAACAACAGTACTGATCAATCAGAATTTCATCTCATTTTCTCTACTCCTTCTGAGACTAAAATGTATTGATACAAAAATGGTTCAAAAGACTAAAACTAGACAATTTTTTATAAAACCTAATAGCTGTTATTTGAAATTCAACACATTTCACTGAGTGGCAGACACTAAAACAGAGAATAAAATACTTTGCAATTTTCATGTTCTCATACTGATTCTCTAGTACACACATAAACATTTAATGACTACATTTAGTCCCAGGTTAACTTATTTCTTAATAATTTTCAAACACTCAAAAGAATATTATAATAAACACCATATAATCTACAATTCTTCTTTAAGAAATAAAACATTATATATATACAATTGTAGCCTGCTGTGTATTGAATTAACTCTTTGCATTAAAGGCACTTCTGTGGCAGACCAAATAACTGAAAATTCCTATGAAATTTTCAGAGTACAATAAAAATTTACTTTCAGAAAGCTATAAAATCAGGTCCATTAATCTCAACATAATATTCTAAAAAATTATTTTATCATAACAGTCTTTACTAAAAATTTAAGGATTAGCTACTAGTACAAAATAAAAAATTCCAAGTCTTAAACATAAAAGCCCACCCATGACCCCATCCCACAGACTTACCGTAAACTATCTATAATATGTTCTACATTTTTGGTGTGAATATGATGTCGTTCAAGTAGTCCACTGTAGCTAGAGCCTTTCAATGCAAGCTATATCAAAATATAAGAAATGTTGTTTTACTATTTATTATATATGATGTTATAATATTACATCTTTTAAAAGACCTATATAGAATTTTCTTATAGGTATATTTTAATGACTATCTGTGAAACCTACAAGGTCAAATTGAACTAGAAAGTCAGATTTCAGACAAGCTTAATTTAGTTTGAATATCAAATATAGCATTAAGTTTAAACAGGATATCAAAACTGCAAGTTTTAAAGTTTAACGGGTTTTTTTGTTTGAGTGTTTCTTTTTACTGTATTACTTATAGTTTCTTTTTACTATATTACCTGAAGACCAAAGACAAACTAATATTGTTAGAGGCACTTAAGATGACCTTTATTCCACTTGGATTTACTATTCTTGTGTTCAGACTTATGAACTGTATTTGAAATTTACCCTACACAATTTACACAGAGTTGATTAGCCCCCTGAGAAAGGATTTTTTAACTTACAGTCACATATCCTTCAACATTTATTTTTCCTAATTGGTTGTAGTAGTACCGTATAACTATCTTACCATTAATAGTTCCCTTTTAAAGTATATGTCTTCTAAAGAATCCACAGAGTAAAATGTTGAGAGAAGCTCAGAAATATCCTCAATGAACATCCATTTTAATCAAGTAGAAAATCTGTACATTGGAGTAAATGCTAGTAGAATTCAAAAGCATGTTATTTTTCTTCCCTCTTCCAAATTCCTTTATAACTTTCTTTATGGTACAGAATCAACTTTTCAAGTACTTATCCAATATAAAATCTTAAGTGTTTTACTTTATTTTAAATCACTATACTATTTACTAAATAACATATAAGGTAAAAGCAAATTTTAAACAATAATCTTAATGAGTATTTGTTTTCTTTTCCTTTTTGAGGAGGGAGAGGGATTGTCAGGGATTGAACCCTGGGCCTTACACATGCCAGATAAGCACTACGCCAAATCCCAGTCCTTCCTGTTCTGGACAGGGTCTCAGCAACTTGCCTAGGCTGGCCTCAAATTTGTGATCTTACTGCCTCAGCCTCCTGTGTGCCATCTCGTCCCCCTTTCATTTTACTTTTTTAAAGTTATAAACATAACATTAACAATATGGAGGATGCATAAAGAAAATTTTAAAATAACCTTATTACTCTGGGATAATTTGTGTTAATACTTTGTTACCTGTGTTTCCAGTCTTTTGCCTACAAATACTAAGAGTATTAAAATAGTTTGGTCCTCACTTTATAATCTAAGGATAACATATATTCCTCAAAAAAAGGAGCTAAAGAAACATTTGGCTACTGTGAAAATACATAGATGACAATTCTCAGTAGATTAGAGAGTTTGTTCAAGAATTTATTGCCTATCCATAAACCTCATTATATTTAGAGCCAATCAATGTCAAAATGTTATTTTAGAAGGGAAGTATGACAAGGTAATAACTGGATAATCCTTCATCTACTTTAATCAATAAATCAGGTTTGAAAAACTATTCTTAGAGAAGAATTTCTAATTATGGATGAACAAAGCATTAATATTCAGACTACTGCTGTCATTACTCAGCCATGGATTGATTGACCAAAATTGGACTACCTACCTCCCAAAAGTACAGACTGAAGTGTCTTTCTTTTCTCTTTTCCTGTGATCGCTACTTTCAAGGTTTTAAAAGAAACCTGTATGTTGTACAGATGATTCCAAACTGCTATCCCTAACCTTTAGGGTTCAACATGATTTATCCAACTATCTGTTTGACATCTTTCTTAAGATGTCTAATAGGCATCTCAGATTAACATGTTCAACATCAAACCTTTCATTTTCTACCTGAAGGATTCTCCACATAAGACTTAAGCCAAAAATCATCCTTTCCCCCCTTATTCTCACATCCAGTACTAAATCCTAGGTCTGATACATGTACATCTTTCCTCCTCACCACCACTTCTCATGATCTCACATTTGAATCACTACACAAGCCTCTAGTCAGGGCTCCCGACTTCTACTTCTACTCTTGGCCCCTGTAGCATACCATGCATGTCTCACTCTCAGCTTAATGCCAAGAGATATGGAGGTGTCTTGACTATCCAAGGACTAGCTGATCTGACTTCTGCTCCCTTCTCCTACCTCATTTTCTCTTTTCATTCCCTACATTCTAGTCTCATTGGCTTATTCTCACAAAGCTGTTTCTTCTTTGCTTGCTGGAATGTTCTCTATCCCCCAGCACAATCCTGGCTCTTCTCTACTTTGGGTTGTGAGGACAGTAGCTATTGGTGCTGCAGTCTCAGCTACAATAGCCACCACTGCCAATTAATCCATTCCAAACCTGTTAGCTTCCTTAAAAGCATTTATCACACCTAAGATTATCTTGGGTATTTTTTTTAAATCTCTTCGTCTCCCCTTCCTAGTATGTAAATACCAGGAGAGCAGTGATCTTATATTGTTCACCACTGTACCCTCAGCGCCTAGGTGCTGGACAAGTAAGTATTTATTGAATAGATTCATTCGTTCGTGCATGTTTCAGCTTTGGGAGTGGGATTGCTTAGGACACGTTTCAGAAAAGCAGAATAGGACACAGGCAGATGCCGTAGAAAATAACTCAGCTAAGTGACAAAAGTGTGCAAAACAGGTCAAGAGGGAACACAGGAAGATTAGTTATTGTAGTACATTATTTTGTTACAGGAATTGCTTTTCACGATCACTTTACAGTGAACACTTTATGTAGAATTAAGCTCTAAAATTATATGTATTCAATATACTGACTACAGTGTTCTTTTTTTCCCCTGTGTTCATTTAAGAATTAGTTGAGTTCGATCAAATGTATTTTAAATGGAGCACTGAAAGTTGCCAAGGACTTCAAGAATGAATACAAACACACAATAAGTCTATTACAACATTTTGTCAAATTGACTGCTTCTGACCTGCTACAAATAAAACTTTTAAGGGTAGCTTAAACTGCAATTCCCCATCCAAATTTTTGATATGTTACAATTTTGGGTTTGGACTATATAAACCTTAGCCCTGTAAATTCTATTTTGTTGTTTAGAAATGTATGAATTCACTTCCTTGTCCTCAGGAGGCTCCAGGAAATTCAGAAACTCAGCAGCTGATTAAGTGGCTTAAGATAGTGAAAAATCTAGTTTGAGGGGGAAAAAATCTTTGAGAACAAAAACTTCAACTTTTCTATGATTGCTAGCAACACTAAAATTTCTTAAATTCCAAGTCTAAATATGAAGTTCACTTAGTATCAGAATACTCAGCATTGGAGCAGAAATGTCATTTCATAAATTCTTATTCCCACTCAAACTTCTTCTTGTAAACTAATTCTCTAATAAATCATGTTCAACATTCATTTAGCAAATACAGGTCTTTGTATTACTTATTTTCCTTAAAGCTCCAGCTGGATGGCTGACTGAACTTTATTAACAAGAAGTAATCTAGGGGGTTGGGTATATAGCTTAGTTGGTAGAGTGTTTGCCTCCCACACACAAGGCCCTAGCACCACACACACACACACACACACACACACACACACACACACAAAAGTAATCTAGGCAGATAAGTGAGAAAGCATTTAAGAAAATCACTTAAACAGCATCAACTACAAAGTTTTAACGTACTATTCAACTGGCTCTTACATTTGTATAATATGCAAAAAACTGGTAAAAATTTTACTATTTCTAAAAATAACAATTTTAAACATCTTAGTCATAAAAAAATGAGAACATGAATTCTTATAAAATGTTTTACAAAAGGTTAGAGAAGAAATGTAGAATGCATTCTGATCTCTGCAATGTTCCACATTAGTAGCCAAATAATTTTTTCAAAACTTGTTAATCCTTCTCTCCATTAAAAATAATGAATATAAAGACACTTAAAGGTGCATCTAAATGGATAAATAACATATGGTATATACACACAATGGAATATTACTCAGCCATAAAGAAGAATGAAATTGTGGCATTTGCCAGTGAATGAATGGAACTGGAGAATATCATACTAATGAAATAAGCCAATCCCAAATAACCAAAGGCCAAATGTTCTCTCTGATATATGGATTCTAATCCATAACAAGGGAGGGTAAGGAGGAGAAGTATAAAGTTCATTGGACTAGACAAAGGGTAATGAAGGGAACGGAGTGGAAATGGGGGGAATAGGAAGACAGTAGAATGAATCAGACACAACTCTCCTATGCTCAAATATGAATATACGGCCAGTATAACTCCACATCATGTACAACCACAAGAATGGGATCCTAAGTGGAATAGGTTGCACTCCTTGTAATATGTCAAAATACACCCTACTGTCACGTATTTCTCAAAACAATAAAAAGGTGCATCTAAAATATCTATAGACGAATACATTTCAGTAGTAAGCAACATTTTCTCCTATAAAAACTGCCAAAAAGCCAGACTTTGCACATTTTAAGGTCAGATGTTACAGTTTTATAATTTTCTAAGTGGTCTGTGACACTTTCATTAAATTATCACCAACATTTTTTACTTAATCCAAACAAACACATTACAATTACAAATTTTAAAACTTGGTTTACCACTCATTTGAGTGTTACTATTTTGTACTTCAAGCAATTTCTATGAAAGCTCAATAAGGGAAGAAGTTCTGTCTTCTTAAATTTAATACATCTGAGATGCAAACTTTTGAGATAAGAGCTTAAATAAATGCACTCTGAATAATTTAAGTATCCTTAAAGTCATACACACTTAACCAAGTGGTAGACTCGGTATTACTAAAAATTGCCTAATTAAGAATTAGTAAATCCAATATTCACCTATTATGTTCAGGCCTAGTGCACTGACCCCTACAGATTTTTTTTTAGATATATCTGATATTTACCTTGGATGATTTCTATTCACTTACTCTTTTTCCCAGACTCTCACCTTTACTTCCCCTATTGTTCTCTACTTCAGTGTTCCTTTTGTTAATTCTGTTTACTTCCTCTCTTATACTTGGTATTGCTCCATCTATGGTATCCTTATCTCCCCACTCCAGGGATTTGACCTA